GTAACTTGCTCCTCACCCTTCAGCCCTGGCAATGGCAGTTTATGCTTTTTTCATGCCTCAGACCCTGAACCACTGGGCCCCATGATGATTTGCAAATTACTGGGGGCTATGCTCTAAAATGGCATGTTGCTCTAGATGCTTAGGTCTCAGAGTGTGTGGGATTCAGTGTGCACTTTCCCTTGGAACATTCCCCTTTTACAATGTCCCAGAATCTTTCTATGTTAGTTTCAAGGCCAATTAGTGTTGAGAGTCTCTCCGATGGCTAGGATCACAGCAGTCCATGGTGGGAATGGTGGGCTTCTAGGGGTCTCTCACATCTTCTCTTCCTTTGGGAGGTACTCCCAGCTCCAAGTAAAGCCTGGCTAAGCCAGCTACCTCACTTTCTGCTGCTTCTTCGGTTTAGGTGTTTCCTGTCACTTCTCTATTGAATTCCAGTGTTCTCCCTGGGATGATCTTCTTACTATTTTTGTTCTTTTTTTGGGAGAAGGCAAGTATTAGATGCCTCTAGTTGCCCATCTTGAAGCCTTTTTATACCTCACTTTTGTGTGGGATAACTCAAGGTTGAATACTTTTCCTCATGTTATCTTTTTTAATGCCTCTCCAACCAAGAAAGCTGTATATATCACATAGTGCAACTACAGAGAGTGTTTTAAAACCTCCCACATCCAAAATTACTGAATCCCTAGACAGAGGGCAAGTGTTTGGTACAGGTTCCTGGATCTGTTGCTTTCATAATTGAGTAAAGGCCTTCATTGTGCCAACCCACTGAGATGTAGGGGTTGTTGAAGTAGCCATGTCTACCTTACTGATTCTCTAATTCCAGTAGTGGTACAAACCCAGAAACACTTATTATTGTAAAGGTCTAATATTAATTAACATTATCTCTGAGTCACAAATATACTCTTTTGCTTCTCACCACAGATGAGTAATCTATTTAGTACAATATTGACATTACAAACTTTTTCCATTGAAAACATCTTCTGAATTTAGTGAAGCTTTTCAAAGCTTTCATTTTTCAATTACTCTTTACCTTTTCTAAAAGGCAATATTTTAAGTAAAGTAGGCTAAATTAGCCCTTCTTACTTTTCTCTTCCATCCTCACCAGGGCAGTAAAACATAGTTGAAATTTATTCTCATGCATGTGTAAGGCTTAAAAAGATTAGTGGATAAGAGTCTAAATCAGAGGCTTTTGAACATTAATCCACCAAGAGTTGAAGTTAGAAAATGTATCATCTTGTGAGTTATTGGGCATAATATTTAGCCAGCAAGGCTTGGAAAATTTTTTATAACACTTGGAAAGACGTGTGCTGAGGTGGATTAAGAATTCATTTTCTTCCACCATCTGGTACATATACTTGTTCTATGGAAAACAGTCTATACTTTTGTGCTACTCACCGCAGTTCTTTGTGAACATTTTTTGTTTCATACGCACTTGTAAACATCTTTACTTGTTTTATGATTATAGCAGTGGTGATATCTATCTTCCTCCATTAAGAAAATGTGAGGCCGGGTGCAGTGGCTCACGCCTGTAATCCCAGGACTTTGGGAGGCCGAGGCAGGAGGATCATGAGGTCAAGAGATCGAGACCATCTTGGTCAACATGGTGAAACCCTGTCTTTACTAAAAATACAAAAAAAAAAAAAATTAGCTGGGCGTGGTAGCGTGCGCCTGTAGTCCCAGCGACTCAGAAGGCTGAGGCAGGAGAATGGCTTGAACCCAGGAAGCGGACATTGCAGTGAGCTGAGATAGCACCACTACACTCCAAACTGGCAACAGAGCAAGACCCTGTCTCAAAAAACAAACAAGAAAATGTGGTTTGGGAAGACATTAAGGTGTACTATTTGATAGGCAAAACATACACTTTTATCACATTACATTAAAGAAGTGTATATAGCCAAAGAACCTGGTGTGAAGGATGTCTGCTTGTTTAAATGTGGAAGACCCTGCACTGTGAGCTTCAGAATGGCTATATCAAAATGGAAAAAAAGAGAGACATAGATTGGGGAATGAGAAAATATTAGAGAGCCAATTAGAATGGCACAGAGGAAAGTTTTGATGCTATTGAAAATGAATTTGCTGCTATGCATCAGATAAATCTTGATGCCATATTGGTAGACACTTACACATTAGTTTTTATTACTTGATAATTAAAAGCCTAGATTAAATAGCATCATTGGTAGCATTGTTTTGAAACTGTCCATTTTCCCATTTTTGCTTTTTTATAAATCCAGATTATTTCTGGCATAATATTCCTTCATTTAATATGAACCTGAATATTGACAGGGAAAATTATGATTGCTCTAAATAAACTCACTTTAAATATATAATCAAAAGTTATCAATGACTATAGGATTTTTCCAGACAATTCCATCATATTTTCCTACTATATTCACTTTTCCACTGTGTAAGATGTCCAGTTAATAGCTTATGTCTCCTACAATTTTTACTTCTACCTTAGCTAATAACCTCCATACACACATCATAAATAAACTATGCAATTAGAGAAATACTTTATTTTGTTGCCTTAAATGTCATAAACTTACCAGTGTCTATACTCATGTATACTCCCTACTGTCTTTTTATGATGGAAGAGGTGCTTTTTGTTCTAAATAAAGTCAAAACTTCTGGTTTGGCCCTATCTTTGGACATACTCAGAGCATTCATCCTTGTATATGCAACTGTCTAATATATGTCTCCACAGTGGATATGTGGTAGATATCTCAAACTTAATAACTATCTAAGTGAACTCTAGGACGCTGGTCTTGTTTTTTTCTGTTACTCATATTAACTTATTTTTGTTTTGAGGACTTCACTATTCCTATTTCTTCTTCTTGGAGCACCATTTTTGAAGATCTTTTTTTATACATTTCTAATTTTCATCACAGCTCCAAGTTTGACTCATCCAGAGAAGTCTTCCTGAAAACCAAATGTATAATGACGCTCTTTACAAACCATGCTTGTGTAATCTTCCCATACTCTGTTTTGTTGACATTATAAGACTTATCGGTACAGACAAATCTCCAGTGATATTGTGGATTCAGTTCCAGACCACCACATTAAAGTAAATATCACAATAAAGTGAGTCAAAGTTTTTGGTTTCTCGGTGCATATAAAACTATGTTAACACTATACTGTACATTGTTATGTATATGATAGCATTATATCTAAGAAACAATGTCTGTAACTATACAAAAATCTATAGATTTTCTATATGACAACAGTGTACAATCTGAAAAAAAACAATAAAAATTTAATCTTATTTACAACAGCCACACATAAAATTAAATACATAGAAATTAACTTAAAGAAGTGAAACAGCTCTAGAAGTAAAGCTATAAAACACTGATGAAAGAAATTAAAGACAAAAAAGTAAAAAAAAAAAAAATTATGTTCATGCATTTGAAACAATCAATATTGTCAAAATGTCCATATCACCTAAAGCAATATACAATTTCAGTTCAATTCCTATTGAAATACAAATAAAATTATTCATATAAATGGAAAAAACAATCCCAAAATTTACATGGAACCACAAAAGACTCAAAACAGCTAAAGCTACCCTAAGTAAAAAGAACAAAACTTGAAGAATCACATTACCTGACTTGAAATTATACCACAGAGCTATAGTAAACAAAGCAGCATGATACTGGCATAAAAACAGACACATAGACAAATGTAGCAGCATAAAGAACCCTGAAACAAATCCACACACCTACAGTGAACACACTGGTACTGTCATAAAAACAGGCTTATAGACCAATAGAATAGAATAGAGAACTCAAAAACAAAACAAAACAAAAAAATCCACATCCCTACAGTGAACTCATTTGAGACAAAGGTGCTAAGAGTGTATACTGGGGAACACACAGTCTTTTCACAGTAACTAGTGCTAGGAAAACTATATTCATATGCAGAAAAATAAAACTAGATCCCTACCTCTCACCATATATGAAAATCAAATAAAAATGCATTAAATACATAAATCTAATGTCTCAAACTATGGAATTACTACAAAAAAACTGAAAACCCCTCCATGACATTGTTCTGCACAAAGACTTCCTGAGTAACAAACTACAAGCACAGACAGCCAAAGCAACATGGACAAATGGGATCATGTCAAGTTAAGAAGCTTCTGCACAGCAAGGGAAACAATCAACAAAGTGAAAAGACAACTCACAAAATGGGAGAAAATATTTGCAAACTACCCATCTGGCAATGGATTAATAACCAGAATACATAAGGAGCTCAAACAACTACATAGCAAAAGATCTTATAATCCAATCAAAAATGGGCAAAGACTAGGAATAGACATTTCTCAGAAGAACATATAAAAATGCCAAACAGGCATATAAAACAGTGCTCAGCATTATTGATCATCAGAGAAATGCAAATCAAAACTACAATGACATATCATCTCACCCCAGTTAAAATGGCTTTTATCCAATTAACAGGCAACAACAAATGCTGACAAAGATGTGAAGAAAAGGGAACTTTCATACACTGTTGGTGGGAATGTAAATTAGTACAACCACTATGGGCCAGGCACCGTGGCTCACGCCTGTAATCCCAGCACTTTGGGAGGATGAGGCAGGTGGATCACGAGGTCAGGAGACGGAGGCCATACTGGTTAACTCGGTGAAAGCCTGTTTCTACTAAAAATACAAAAAATTAGCAGGGCGTGGTGGCAGGCGCCTGTAGTCCCAGCTCCTGGCGAGGCTAAGGCAGGAGAATGGCGTGAACCTGGGAGGCGGAGCTTGCAGTGAGTCGAGATAGCGCCACTGCACTCCAGCCTGGGAGGCAGAGCAAGACTCCGTCTCAAAAAAAATAATAATAAAAAAGTACAACCACTATGGAGAATAGTTTGGTAGCTCTAAAAATAGGGCTACCATAAGATCCAGAAATTTCCAAACTGAGTATAAGGAAAGGAAATAAATATATTGAAGAGATATCTGCACTCCCATGTTTTATACAGCTCTATACACAATAGCCGAGATTTGGAAGCAACCTAAATGTCCATTAACAGATGTACGGTTAAAGAATGTGGTACACATACACAATGGAGTACTCTTCAATCATAAGAAGAATGAGATTCAGTTATTTACAACAAAATGGATGGAATTGGAGGTCATTAAGTTGAGTGAAATAAGCGACGGATGCAAAGCAAACCACGTAAGTTCTCACATATTTGTGGAATCTAAAAATAAAAACAATTGAACCCATGTATACAGAGACTAGAGGAATGGTTACCAGAAGTTGGGAAGTGTAGTGGAGTTTCAAGGAGAGTTGGGAATGTTTGAGGAGTATAAAAATACTTAGAATGAATGACTAAGGCCTAGTAATTGATGGTACAATAGAGTGACTATAGTCAATAATAATTTAATTGCACATTTAAAAATAACTAAAAGAGTATAATTGGATTGTAACACAAAAGATAAATACTTGAAAGAATGGACACTCTGTCTTCCATAATATGATTATTATGTATTGCATGCCAGTATCAAAACATCTTATGTACCTCATAAATATATACACCAACTATGTTCCCATAACAATTAAAAATTAGGAAAATATCGTACAATAGAACTGAACAGACATTTTGTGAAAGACAAATGGCCAGCAATGATATGAAAAAAAATGCTTAAAGTCATTAATCATCAGAAAATGCAAATAAAACCACAATGAGGTATGATCTTAGAGCAGTCAGAAGGGATAATATTAAAAAGACAAAAATAGCAGATGTTGGCAATGATGTGGATTAAAGGGAACACTTATACACTCTTGGTCCGAATATAAGTTAGTACAACTTCTTTGGAAAACATTATGGAAATTTCTAAAAAAAACTAAATATAGATCTCTCATTTGATCCCCCAATCCCACTACTGGGTATATATGTCCAAAGGAAAATACATTATTATATCAAAAAAAAAAACAAAAACAAAAACAAAAAAAACTCCAACTGTAGATTTATTGCTGCACTATCCACAATACCAAAGATATGGAATGAACCTAAGTGTCCATCAATTGATGATTGGACAAAGAAAATGTGATATAAACATATGATTAAAGAAAACATATGTATGTGTGTATTTATGTACATATGTATATATATTTACATATAGGTATATATATGCATGTATATATTTATATCACATTGTAGCAACATGTAAGGAATTAACGACATTATCTTTAGTGAAATACCTCAGAAAAAGAAAGTCAAATACCACATGTTCACACTTTTAAGTGAGAGGTAAATAATGTGTACCCATGGACATAGTGCAATAGATGTTGGAATCTCAGAAGGGTGGGAGGGTGCTTTGGGATGAGAAATTACTTAAAGGATACAATATACACTGTTCAGGTGATGGTTACACTAAAAGCCCCGATTGACCACCACACTATATATGTGTGTGTGTGTGTGTGTGTGTGTGCGTGCATGCGTGTGTATAATGAAAAAGAACTTGTATCCCCTAAATATATAAAAATAAAAGTAGTACTATTAATGATATAGTCATGCAAAAAAGAATATAAGCAACATTTCTTTTTTGTCAGGAAAATAAAACTTCCTGTGAAACCAGTATATACAAGAATAATAAGAAAATCTTAGTCCACTCTTTCGGACACATTTATTAATGGCTGAAAACTATAAAGAAAACTTATTCACCTCTTAATTTCTTCCATTTGTTTCTATCAAGGGAGATCAACTTCAGTATAGTCAAGATGAAACAGACATTGAGGCAAAAATTGGAATAGGTAAATGAGGTAATGCAAGAGATTCTATGTGAGAAATTACACATTCCAAGTGAATTAAAGTCTCATTGATTATACATACCATACCTGAAAATATTAATATCTCAGAATATAAAGAGAAGCATTGCTGACAATCTTTGAAGATTCAATGGAGAAGGGGAGTGGTTCTGTGAAAAATTACATACAAAAATTTGAATGTTCAACAAATGAGATCGTTTCTAAAATTACGACTTACTAACAATATAGCAAGGCTCTCTTTTACTTCTAACCAAAAGACACTAATACAGATAGGGAATTCATTCACATTAGCATAGACTGGCAGAAATAAATTCCAGCTTTTTACAGGTGAACTATTCAGACAAGTTAAGTGCCTTGCCCTGCGTTATACAGCTTATAAATGGCAGACGGAATTGAAGCACCTAATTCCAAATCATACTCAATTACTGTTACGTACACTTTGTGATAAATATCCAGTAAAATGTCTAAACTGGATTATTAAACATCTAGTTACCTATGAGAATAGGTGTCATTAGGACCACTAAGTATAATGTGAGCTATTATGGTAGCAGATGAAGAAATATTTAAATGTATCCAAGGAATAATTATTAATATATTAATTCTTGATAAAGAAAGTGATTCATGAGAAAAATGGCTGTTTTATTTGATTCTATATCTTATTAATGATCAAAACACGGTTATACAGCATGCTAGTCAAATTTCCAGATAAAACAAATCTAGACCAATTACATTGAAATAATCTCAATGTTTGAAGCAGGGACTCTCAATACCATCAAGTTGAATTTATATTGCTAGTGAATTTTTATTCAGTCAGTCTGTGCTTGTGTTTTCTAATGCCGGGAAACACATTGTATCCTGTCTGGATTCTGTTTTAATTGTGGTTGTTATAATCTTTCAGTGAAGAAAGTATTCTTAGTTTCCTATAATTATTTAACTAATCCTTATTACAAATAGTAGAGGCAAAAAGAACCTGTATATATATCAGGAAAGATTTGAAAAGTTTTTTGATGGTTGAAAGTACCAGCTAAATCAAAGAATAATTTTGACATTGTTTATAATAAACTGTTTGAACTTAATTTCACTAATGTTGTGAATAATTAAAATGTGGTACAGAAAGTAATGAGAAGTATACAGAAAAATTGAATTATCATTATAAGCAAACCATACTGGATTATCTGGTAGAAAATATTCACAACTTTCTTAGTATTACCAAAGAAATAACTACCATTAGTTTTCTATTTAGTTAATGACAATTAATGTTAGATTTAATTAATTCAAAATTAAACTTAAAGGTAAAAATTAATTCCAGTTATAAGTTAGATTTAGCTGTCTTAAGGAATATTTTACATATCACAAAATTCGCTGGTTTTAGGTGTACAATTCTATGTGTAACCATTGTAACCAACAAAATGTGTAATATTTCCATTATACTTATAGGTTCCCTTTTGACTAGTTCCTCTACTAGAACTTCTAGAACAGCAACTGGTAGATGTGAAAAAAGGCACAGGTTTTATATATGGGTGTGTATACATGTATATACACACACACATATGTACACACATGTGTATATATAAAATTATAATAAATAACAATAAAAAGTAGAACAAAATATAGGGATGAAAAACATGAATGTTTACATTATGGTATGTAGTGATGATTGAGAGCAAGTAAGACACAGATGTCTTTCTATATCTTAATATCAGAAATCAGAATAATGACATTTTAAATGGGATACCAAAATCAGGAGAATGTGAACATGTCCTTAAAGTCTAGGAGTGGGATAGCAAATTTTGTGCAGAATTTATTTTAAATATTGCATTATCTGAGGTATTTACCTTCAGTTATAGCATTGATTCTATGGAAGATATGTATTCCAAGTTAGAAATAGCTGACACGCAATCACAATTTCAGAACCTAAAATTTTATTTCCACTGCATGACACGTACTTGTTAAATCTGTATATTCAGCTATGATTTCACTATTTTTTCTTACCTACTTATTCTTATACCCATAATATTGTGATAGTTTTAATTTTAAAATAAAATGAAAATATAAAAAAGTTCTTCATGGAATGCCATATATACTTCCTTACTTTAGCAACTTGTGATATTTTATCACAAACACATAAATTCCATAATTTATATTTTTTCTATCAATTAATGTTTAAAGGTCAGGATGAAGAATTAGAATAGAAAATGTTAAACTCTTCTCAAACTCTGAAAGTGAAAGGAAGAAATTTATCTCCCAACTTTCAATGTTATTTAAGTATTTGAATAAGTATCAAGAGAAAGATAGATGTACGGTAAATTAGTTTAAATTTGATGGGGGAGACATTGCTTATTTCAAGGTATTTGAATAGATTACTCCATTTTAGTATTCTATCCTGAAAAAAGGCTTCTTTTCAGCACATAAGAATTGTTCCTCTGCTCTGATCAATTTAATTTACCTTCAATTGAATTCAATTATGATTTTATCTAGCTTGTCTCTTTAAGTTTTAGAAAGATGCCTTTAAAATCATCTGGTTTATTTTATCTCCAATTCATATTTGAGATTTCAGAATACATAAAGTACTTTAAATAAAACTCATTTTAAAATGTGGAGTTCACAAAATATATTAAAACTCTGATTAACAAGAATGCCTAGGAAGTAGGTAAACATTGTTTAAATGTTGTGCTTAAGTGACAATTAAGCAAAAAACACTTTGTTTCACCTTGTGTTGTTTAATGGTTGTCTAAAATTCCTCTGTCTACTTTGTTTGTATCACATATAAGCTCACATAAGATGAGCTTAATGAAATGCCTCTTTGAAAACCCTACAGACCTGCAGGGTCGTCCATCACTATAGCAGTTCATACTGCATGTAAGGTTTACGTGTTGTAGGTGTAGAACACTAAATGGCTTATGTACTAAATCTGGATTATTTCTAAAGTAGCCTATGGATTTTTCTTTTTATTTTTAAATTGTTTTTTAGCCACTCTATTAACTGAAGCCTACGGATTATATTTTTTCTGGAATTAACATATTTTTCCATTAGCTTTATCCAAATTGGTTGAAGTCTCACAAACACCAATTATTTGAGAGTTCTTGTGAATTGAATTCTAGTTGACATTTTATAGTTAAACATACCCAAGATGTTTTTAATGTAACCGAAACCACAGCATCACAGTCCTAACCCATTAATTGTTCTTCTGTGTTTCATAGTATAATAATGCACTACCCCTGGAAGAATACATGCAAATGTGACCTTCAACATTCTTCCCTTTCCTGTAGGTGCATGCCACTTTTCTCATGAAAAGGTGGCCTATTTCCCTTCCATGTGGATTTGAGATGGTTTTGTGACTTATTACTATAAATATAATATGACAGAATGTATTAATGCTGTGTTCTATATGGTCCTAGGCCTTAAGGGGCAATGCAATTTTAACTTCGTTATTTTGGAGACCAGAAGTCTGGATATCCTACTGGAGAAAATATATGTAGAAAACCAAGACTATTCAGCCTCCAGCTTTTCCAGTCATCCCATCTAAGGTGCCAATACTTTGAGTAAAGTCAATGATCTTGGATGTTTCAGCCCCAGCGAAACTTGTTGATTCATGTAACTTCAGGAGTGACAGCAGAACACACGTTGTTGAAGAAGTACACAAAAAAGGGAAGACAACTCACAAAATCACTAGAAATCATATTCATAGCATTTTAACATTATCATGTGTTGGGTGCTTTGATATTCTTCAATAGATGCCAGACACAGAAATTAATATCTGTAAGTATAATGTTGCCCTTAATGAAAAGCTAAAATGTGTTCTGCTTTTGAGACAAAATGTTAGCTGGAGGCTGGAAAAGTTATGAGGAGACTGTTAGTAAACATCAGAAGAACAGTGAACAAAACATGATTGATAAATGAAAAAAAATGTAAACCCTATTATATATTGGCAAAAGTTGGCTAGCACTGTCACCTGAAGTACTATGGAAGAGAGATGAAGTACTATGGAAGAGAGTTAAGGTAGCTAATAAATTTGGGAATCTGGCTAGAGAAGATCTCTGGGCAGAATGTTTGGAAATATAAAATAACATACTTTCGAAGACTATGATAAGGAATTGCAAATGAAAGATAAGTAGGAAAAGTATTTTCTAGGAAAAGTATTTTCTAGGAAAAGTATTTTCAAGGAAAATTGGGACCCAGGACAGTCTCTTCAGTTGACAAAATATTTTAAAAGTAAAACTAAAGGGCAAAGTAAAGCCAGTGAATCATACCCTAAGGATCAAGATAAAAGTTGCAACTGTAACGCCTTTGTAAATACCTCAAAAATCTTCAAATTCATTCCCAGAAGATCCCCTCCACTAGATAAAATGACTATTAAGATTTTTTTTAATGTTGGCTTACAGCAGCCTGACACTCCCACAGAAGAGAGAGGTGCATCTAAGAAACAAGTATGAATGTGGTATGAAAAGATTTCAAATAAGTTTCACTAAAAACCACAAAGTATTTTAATTTTTAATTATATTTACAAAAGCAGCCTGAGCTAATAGTCATATAGATTATTCATAATGAAAAGAAGCCTTGGGCTATCATTTTTCTATTGGCAGTCAGTGGGATAAGGGAATTATTCAATAGCAAACATAAGACATATTTTATGAAAAATATGGAAGACTTAGAAGGTGGAGCCAAATGCCACTAATAACAACAGATTATGGAACTATTCTCAAAAGCATAATTAAAAGCTAATCGAGGAACATCTTCTCTCTCCCAAGCAGTGGCAAGCCATTACATGTTTCTAGCACAGTTTTTAATGAACCAGTGTTCCAAGGTGCCTTTCTTTTTTACTTTTTCAGTGGTAGTAACTATGACAGTTATTTAAGCCCCATGTAACAACGGTATGTGGTTTCTAAAAACAGAGAACTTATTTTAGTTCATGAGTTTTTAGAACAATAGTATGCTTGAGGTATTTCTGCTTTTCAACATAATGCTAATAATGAGAACCTTGACTTTGAGTTTATGCCACGATTGGATAAGACTGTGAGAATTAGTGTAATTTGCCTTTAAGAAATATGTACATTGTGGTAGCCAGAGAGTGTATTATGAACGACTGTGTCTTTGTCTGTTTTGTGTTGCTACAAAGGAATACCTGAGACTGAGTTATTCATAGAGAAGAGAGGTTTATTTAGCTCCCACTTCTTCAATCTGTACCAGAAACATGGCACCAGCATTTGCTCAGTTTCCAAAGAGGGATTTTGTGCTGTATCAAAATAAAGCAGAGGGCCAAGCATGGTGGTTCTCGCCTGTGATCCCAGCACTTTGTGAGGCCAAGGCAGGCGGATCACGAGGTCAGGAGATTGAGACCACTCTGGCTAACACAGTGAAACCCCATCTTTACCAAAAATACAAAAAATTAGCGGAGTGTGGTGGTGGGTGCCTGTGGTCCCAGCTACACTGGAGGCTGAGGCAGGACAATGGCGTGAACCTGGGATGTGGAGCCCACAGTGAACTGATGTCGCGCCACTGAACTCTAGCCTGGGCAACAGAGCGAGACTCTGTTTCAAAATACAAAAATAAATAAATAAATAAAAATAACAAAAACACAAAATAAAGCAGAGAATGTCAAAGAGAAAATAGGTGCATGTGAAATGGGACCAAACACGAGGGGTATCCTGGCTTTATAACAACCTACTCTGCTGAGAACTAATACATTTCCCTGGGAACCCATCAACTCTTACAAAAACAAGAACTCATTATTGTGAGAAAGGTACCAAGTCCTTAGTGATGTATCCACCCCCTTGAACCAAACATCTCCCACTAGGACCTACCTTTCAACATTATAACACTGGGGATCAAATTTCAATATGAATTTTGGTGGGGACAATCAGACCATATTCAAACCATGGCATTCCATCCCTGGCTCCCTAAAACTTACATTTTCTCACATGCAGTGTGTAACCATTTCATACAAATTGTCCCAAAAGTCTTCATATCAACTCAAAACTCCAAAGTAAAAAGTCTCATCTGAGACTCAAGGTAAGTTATTTCCAGCTATAATCCTGTAAAACAAAACAAGTTATTTACTTGCAAGATTCAATGGTTATACAGGTATTCAACAATCATTTCAATTCTAAAAGAAAAAAAAAACCCACCAAAATAAAAGAATGACAGGCCTTACGCAAGTTTTATTTCTTTTTTACTTTTTTGTTTTTTTTGAGACGGAATCTCGCTCTGTCGCCCAGGCTGGAGTGCAGTGGCCGGATCTCAGCTCACTGCAAGCTCCACCTCCAGGGTTTACGTCATTCTCCTGCCTCAGCCTCCCGAGTAGCTGGGACTACAGGCGCCCGCCACCTCGCCCGGCTAGTTTTTTGTATTTTTTAGTAGAGACGGGGTTTCACCATGTTAGCCAGGATGGTCTCGATCTCCTGACCTTGTGATCCGCCCGTTTCGGCCTCCCAAAGTGCTGGGATTACAGGCTTGAGCCACTGCGCCCGGCCTTATGCAAGTTTTAAATTCAGCAATGTAGATATTAAATCTTAAAGCTCCCAAATAATCTCCTTTTACTGCATATTCTGCATCTGAGGCACAGCGGTGCAAGGAGTGGAGTCCCCAGGATTTTCCAGGCTGAGGGTGCACACTACCAGTGACTCTAAAACTCTGGGGACGGTAGAGCAGTGGCCTCATCCCTGTAGCACCACTAGGCATTGCTCAAGTGGGTATAATCTGTGGCAGCCCCAACACTTTGGCAGGGTTCCATCAGGGCTCCCAGGCTTTCTGACACATTCTCTGAAATCTTGGTGGAAACCACCAACCCTTCGTGGCTCTTACATTCTGGAAGCCTACGGAATCAACACCACGTGGAAGCCACCAAGGCTAACAATTCTGCTCTTCAGAGTGGCTACCTTAACAACACCTGGGTCTACTTGGGCTTCATCTGCAGCTGGATGGGGGAACAATGTTTTTGGTTGGCCCAGGGCAGTGGTTTCACAGGCCTATCCACCAAAATCATTCTGTCTCTCTGAGTCTTGGGGTCTGTGATGGGAGCAGAGACCTTAATAATCTTTGACATGCCTTTGGGCCCTTTTTCATTACCTTCACTGTTGGCCTCTGGCTCCCTTTTATCCATGCCAATCTCTTTAGCAAGTGACCTCTCTCTGCACTCTTATTGTCTCTCCTGAAAATAACATTTCTTCTCTAAAAAAATTGTCAGATCATAAATTTTCCAAGTTTTTATGCTCTGCTTTTCTGCTTTTTTAAAATTATGTGGGTTCATAGTATGTGTACATATTTATGGGTTACATGAGATAGTTTGAAACAAATGTGCAATGTGTAATCATCGCATTAGGGTAAATAAGGTATTCATCACCTCAAGCATTTATTGTGTTACAAATAACTCAGTTATACTCTTTTACTTATTTTTAAATACATAATTAAAATATTTTGTCTAACAGTCACCCTCTTTGGGTAGCAAATACTACGTCTTATTCACTCTTCTATTTATTTGTACTCATTAAGAGTCCCCACTTCCCTGCCATGCCACATAACCCTTCCCAATCTCTGCAAATTATTATTTTATTCTTTGTCTCCATGAGTTCAATTGTTTTAATTTTTAGTTCACACAAATAAGTGAGAACATGTGATGCTGTCTTTCTGTGCCTGGTTTATTTCACTTACCATGATAACCTCCAGTTTCATCCATGTAGTTGCATATGACAGGATCTCATTCATTTCTATGGGTAAGTAGTACATCATTGTGTATGTACAACATTTTCTTTATCCATTCATCTGTTGATGCACATTTAGAGTGCTTAAAAATTGGCTATTGTGATTAGTGCTGCAATAAACATGGGAGTGCAGATATTTCTTCACTATACTAATTTTTTTTCTTGGATATATACCTAGCAGTGAGATTGCTGGATCATACAGTAACTCTTGAGTTTTTTGAAGAACTTCTAAACTGTTCTCCATAGTAGTTGCACTAAATTACATTCCCACCAACAGTGTACAAATCTTCCCTTTCTCCACATCCTTGCCAGAATTTATTATTACCTGACTTCTGGATAAAAGCAATTTTAACTGGGATGAGATGATATCTCATTGTAAGCATGATTTGTATTTAACTGATGAACAGTGATGTTGAGCACCTTTTCACATACTTCTTTGTCATTTGTACGTGTTCTTTTGAGGAATGTCTTTTCAAATATTTTGCCCATTTTTAAATTGGATTATTAGATTGTTTCCTACAA